GAAGGCCTCTTTATCATCATCAACTAAGGACATTTATTAATCGCCCAGCTGGGCTGCTCACACTCCAGCTGACACATGGGTGTGTTCCACAATAGGTGTTCTCATCCTGCAGTAGGGTGGCCCTTTGGAGTTGGAGTCACAACATAGCAAACAGAATCCCAAACTTTACATGTGTTATCCCCAGTCTCTTCTATCATAGGAACGCTTCTCAAAGTAATAGTCTGAGAGTGATAGTCGTTCTACGGCATTTTCTTTCCTTTTTTTTTTTTAATTTGGGTTTAATAGAAGAAATATGATAATAGACTCCTTTTTCTTAATAGGCGTTTCTTTTCTAGTGCTTATCCTTCAAGAGTTAGAACTGCAATATGTTTGTGTTTTGTCTGTTATTGCGGCAAGTTGTGTAAACAGTTAATTACTCGTAACTTAATTTGAATATTACACAGCGCATTTGTCAGAGAAGGTATGAAACCAGATCCAGGCATTAAGCAGGAAGAATAAAGAATGTCACTGGCTGTTGAGGGGAGAGCAGAGAGTGAGGACACAGGAAGTTAGCTAATGAGATTTTCAGGTGGTCAGGAGTAGTGATTGGTGTGCAGGCCCGTCTCTGCTCCTCAGAAATTGAATTTATTGATGACTTTGGCTTCTATCTCACCATTTCCTCGTGGTGTCTTCACCAACTCCCTCATCTTTTACTCCCCACTTTTCATGTCCCTCCTTGGGAAAACCTCAGGTGTACCTAGACACGTTCTCATTTTAGTGCTTCCTCATAAACCCTCCTGCTTTCATACCCCGCTTCATTAGGGCTTTCAAATCTTGGCGAGATGCCAGGGGAGCTCAGAGACAAACACTCTGAATAGTATCTTTAAAAAAAAAAGTATATTTTTATGCTCTTCATGCTGATTGTTTAGCAATCCAGGGTTGCCATAATTCTTCTTAAAAATATTGAGACATCCAGTAGCTAACACATTGCTATGATAGTCAACCCCTTCAAGAAAGCTATAATTCGAAAATCAGTTGATGAGATTACTGTGTAGCAAAAATATTTGAGGAAAACAGTTAAGATCATTTTAATAAATGGAAAAGACAGGCAATCTCTGGTCTCCAGAGGCACTGCTCTTGTGTGACGAGTCTGAGCCGCCAGTTGTTCCCTCCTTGGTGGCTGGAATCAGGAAGAGACTTGGGGGCAGAGCAGTATTGGTGCCTGAGCCATTCTCTCCTCTCCGTAATTTACCCTGCTGTTTATAGAAGGGGTTTCTGCAGGCCCGTGTACGTGAATGATGAGCAAATGCAAGGAATTTCTTTCTCCACATTAAGATTAAGTGTTAGCAGTTCCTTAAATGAAGGAAGCAATTTTTTATAACTTGCAAATCTTCTCCCTGATTCTTCGGGGAATTTCCTATGTTAATTTATGCAGTGTTAAATTTATGCAGTGTTGAAATTCAGCCCAACAGCAGCGACTTACAGAACCCATACAGAGATTGTGGGAGAACCTGTAAGGTGACACTAAGTGACACAGACCTTTTCAGGCCTCAGAATCCCTCCAGCCAGAGTTCCTAAGACCTGGGTTTTGAGCAGGTTTTATTGCATAGTTACGATATGGTGATAATAGAGTATTTGCCCGTCTATTTTTTTAAAAAAAATTCAACTTGACGATTTATTTATTAACGTCTTTGACTGAAATGAGGAGGTTTTGTATCACCTCTGCCACCCTTTGGTGGCAGCTAGGTGCAGTTTACAACATGTGTATAGCCTGGCCCCGGAGCCTTCCCTCGTTCCTTGTATCTTCAAGGAGCCACCTGTGAATTAGTGGAACTGTTGTGCTATCTTTGAAATTTAGAATTTTAATACATGTAGCAGGCTATTCTGTGAATGTAGTGATTTCTCTGTGTTTTAGATTTGCTCAAAAGCGTTTCATTAATCTTTTTGTTAGACTGGCCCGCTGATCTTCAAACCAGCCAGGGCCAGGCACATAATAGATTCAAGTTCCCATTGGTTTGTTGAAGAAAGTAGTGAGTGTGTAACTCCCAAAATGCTAAATGGCATCACTCTTAAGCTGATAATTTTCTTCAGTAACTAACTAAATGTCTTTAGATGCACTCAGTATAAATCTACTCTATACTGACTTCTGTTTTGTATTAACCTAGAGTGTTGTGGTGAGGTTGTCTATATATCTGGAATTCATAGTTTCCTGTCCAAATAACTGGACACACAGTTGTCATCTCACACAGATCAAGCCACAAGAGGATAAATGAGATGCTGTGATACTGGGACATTGTCTGGTCTGACTCTTACATCATAGGTGCTCAATTTTTAATTTTTCCAACAAATACAGAGCTTATGTGAATGATGGGTCTGAGAGAAATCGCACATTGTGGTGGTGTTTTTTTTTTTAATTTAAATTCAATTAATTAACATACAGTGTATTACTAGTTTCAGAGGTAGAGGTCAGTATTCATCAGTCTTATATACCACCCAGTGCCTATCACATCACGTGCCCTCCTTAATACCCATCACCTAGTTACCACATTCCCCCACCTCCCTGCCCTCCAGCAGCCCTCAGTTTGTTTCCTGAGTAAGAGTCTCTTGTGGTCTGTTTCACTTTCTGAGTTCATCTTTGTTTTATTTTTTCCTCCCTTCCCCTATGCTCCTTTGTTTTGCTTATTAAATTCTACGTATGAATGAGATCATACGATAATTGTCTTTCTCTGATTTATTTCACTAGCGTAATGCCCTCTAGTTCCGTCCACATTGCAAGCGGAAAGATTTTTTTTTCTTTTTGTATTTTTTGTTTGTTTGTTTTTTGGTGGCTGAGTAGTGGTCCATTATAAGACAACTCTGCTGAGCAAAGTCTTCTGCTTTATCTGTTTTGTCTTTCCTGTTTTCTCTGGATTTTCTTTTCTTTCTTTCTTTCTTTTTTTTTTTTTTTTTTTGCATCTGGCTTTTCTGATTGACTTCCTCCTTGAATGTATTTTGTGACCATTTCTATATGTGTTCTCTAAACTAGTTTGCCTGCTTTTGGATCTGGCCACATTTGGCCTCCTCATTTCATAGACTTCTTAGCAACTTATAATCATGGCTAAGTCAGGATAATCTATCCATCCTGTACTTTTGTGACTAGCACACTCTCTTATTTGTCCTTCCACTCTTTCTGTTCTGCCCTGTTATTTCAATCATTTCTCTTCATCTTCAGTTTTATCTCTAAAGACTGTTAACATCTCTTCTCAAGCAACTTTCCTCTAGACATTTCCATCTGGAATTTCTTACAAACTCCAAATTCAAGTCTTTTTTCTCATTTCCAGGCTGGCTCCTCCCACTGACTTTTCCATTTCTCTTGGTGATGCCATCATCCTTGCTTCCCAGTCACAAGGATCACCATAACTTAGGTCTCACCACTCTGTTTTTCTATCCATGTCTTTTATGGCTCTATTTCTCATTTCCACCCTGATTCCTACTCTGCCCCTGCCCTGGTCTTCTTACCTCCAGATTCTCATCTCTTGGATCCATTATGCCAAGGATGTCAGGATAGCCCTCTAAATGACATTTTCCTATTTAAGGACATGTGGTGGATTCCCAGGTTTTTTTCCAGAAGCCAACAGAAAGTAGCTCGGCCAAACTCTCACTCTGGTGACTCTTTTGACACTCTTTTCTTTGGTACATTGCTATTGTATACCCTTTTATCTCGCTAGGCTAGTCTTTTCCTCCACTCTCCATACATACTGGGCATGCTCCTCCCTCCAAATCCTTGCCGCTGCTTCCTTTCCTCACCTCCCCCCAACCTACTCCTGGTCCTTCTTCCTAGATTCTGCAAGACTCAGAGAGATGCTCTGAAAGATCCTATTAGAAGCCTCCTCTGAGCACTCCAGTTCTAGAGAGTTCTCTTCCCCTGAACAAGTTAGAACCACTCCTCTTTTGAATTACTACTTTCCTGGAAAGATACCCAAGAAACTAAGAAATAGGAAAGAGAAAAAAATTACTTTTTCCTCTGTATTCTCTGGTTTATCTTAAATTTTATCCTGTGTGTATGTATTACTTATTCAGTAAAATCAATTTTTAACATATATTTAGCCAGTATATATTTTAAAATAGCTAATTATTACAGTATATTATATCTTAACTTGCGATGGGCGTGTGTATTGGTTTCCCCACAGCACCTCACTCAGTGCAGTGATGATCTAGTAGGAGCTCAGTTAAGAGCTGAGTGAATAAATGGCTAGGGCGATGAGGGCTGTAGGGAAGGAAGGTGTGAACAGATGAATCACAGACAACCTTGGGCCTGACACAGCCTCCTTCCTCTTCTGCATTATTTTAAAACTAAAGGGGAAAGTATCACTTTTGTCTTTTAAAGATTCCTAAGAATTGAGGCAGTATATCCCCTGCCCTGGCTAAATATAGAGTTTTAATCTGATAGTTGAATTCTTTCTGTGTACCACCCCCTACCCCATTCACAAAAATAAAAAACTAAATAGGATCTAGGGGCCATTTTGGCAATTTGAAAATAGATACTCACCTTTGTAGCTCTGTCCAGCCCAAAAAGCTCATGAACATCTGCCTTCTGGCCTAGAATGGGCAGAGGTTTCTGGGAGAGATTCTGCCCTCTTGGAGCCTTTCACGTTTAATCACTACTTCACGCCTTCCCCCACCCCTTTTTCCTTGACAATAGCTTCACCCCAGTCCCTGTGGCCACCAGAAATACTCCCACGTGTTTCCAAATGCCCCTGGTAGTGAGACAACACACATGTCCACACCCCCCTACAATCCATGCCATGTTCACTCTTGAGTCAGCTTAGTATGGTGGGGGGTGGAGTCATTTGGAAATTATACATCATTAAACGGTGGTATTCATTAAAGGTAATAGTATTTTGAGACCAAGAAGCATACGCCTTGTTTTATGTGGTTTTGAATAGATCTTGAAAAGTAATACAAATAGTACTAAACAGTTATTGTCATTTTTTGGGATTCCCTTCTGCTGGTAAAACTCATGTTTTCTATTTCTCTTGCAGAGCATGCTTGAGAAGGGAGGATAAAGTCAACTTTTAGAACAAGCAAAACTCCTCAACGTTAATTCCAGAGGTGGAACATTTTTTTTTCCTAGTAAGAAAGTAACCAATTTAAGGAGAAAACGATTAAAGAGAAGCACCAGAGAGCAGATTCAGCCGAAGCATATCCCAGTTTGATCAACTGCAGTTTGAAAAGCCGAGGCCTAGATCAGGGATCAACAAACAAGGACGCACTGCAGTGTTAGTCAGCCCTGTTCGTGACAATTAAAAGAGAAAGGCAGCCCTCTCCACCTTTTTAACTTTCTATTCAGCTTGCTCTTCTTACCAGGCTCCACGGTTGGGTAAACCCTCACTCCAGCAAAGCTGGGTTTGGGGCTTGGGATGGGGGCTAGGGTCCTTGGAGTGGGGAGTGGAGGGCACTATACCTCCATCTCAGCCCAGAAATGCTGGGTGCAATCATCTAGGCTCTGGCGTGTTGGTTTTTTTCTTTTTCTTTTCTCCCTTGACTATAGAAGAGCTACTTCATTTTAACTTATTATGGTGATCATGTACGTAAGACAAAAAGGAGAGAAAAATGTACCTCTTTTACTGGAATAATGTTTATGATTACAAGTGAAATAAGGCATTTTTTATCAACATAAAGGCAACCTTGGCTTATACAACCTCTTCTCGATCATGAATACTGACATCTTTACTGCACTCACTATCAATAATAAATATATTTTCCAAAGAAGACTGGCATTGCAGCCCGGGCTCCGTGTATTCCTTTCGTTGGGCTAGATGGTTATGCATATGGGAATTGAGTTGATTTGTATTGCTATTAATTTGCATCTGTGCTGTACCTTTCCTCTAAAAAGCTCCAAAGCACTTTGCAGAGCCTCAGACAGGCAACTCGCCTCTCAGCCTGATAGGATTCAGTAAGATCTTTACAAATTGCATGAACCTTCCTGTCTTTGGGATGACTTAGTCACCCTGCCTGGGGCAGAAACTAGATTAGATAAGCTTGGTTGGGAACATCTGACCCTGCAATATTATGTTAAATGTTAAAAAAAAAAAAAAACAAGCAAAACAAAGCAAAAAAACCTTGCAGTTTTTGCTCTTTGCAATTTCATTGAAATTTCTTGATTATCATTTATTTTTCTACCAAAGGATTGGTGCTTCAACCCTGGATTTTCGTAAGTTGAAAGTTAGTATTCACACTGCAGCTGAATGGAAAAGTCTTTCTTGGATATTCATGAGAAGAAGATGCCAGTGAGCTGTGATGTCACCTAAATATCTTTTGTCATATGGAAGTTTTATTCTTTTTATGCAGAGAGAATTTAGCAAAATAATTAAGAATACGGGCTCCGGAATAAGGAGTTTCTGTATTCAGGTTCCGTCTCTGCTTCTTGCCAATTTGGGACGAAGTAGTCACCTAACTACACTGACCCTCTGATTCTTCTACTGTAAATAGATGGAAACTTGAAAAACCTGCCATAAAAAAAAAAGAAAGAAAAAGAAAAACCTGCCATGTAGGCCACCACATACATTCAGTTGGGCTCAGTATATGTTGTTGATTTGTGTGACTATGAGTTAACTGGTATTTGTGGAGTTGGGGACATGGAAAGAATATCCACATGCCCGGATTACCTTTTACTTAGAGAAAGTCAGGATGAACTTGTGCTTGGAAATTTCAACCAACCCTGGTAAATGTAAGTGTGGCTTCTTAACTCCTGATTCCTGAGTTGGCTCCATTTGAATGGCATCTTCTTGTACCCTTATGGACACAACTGTAGACCTGATGTTGAGTCTGAGTGACATCGGTGACTCTCCTACCATAATTCCCAAGAGGCTCTGTGATTACTGTTTAATGAAGGGTTTTTGTTTTTAATAGTGCAAAATAAACTGAGCTCACCTAAGTGTGAATGAAGGAAGCAAGGTAACTTGAGCAGCACATTTGGCCACTGTCAGGATGGCATCCAGGTAACTGCCTGGGAGAAATAATAGGTACACAAAAACAAGTGTTTACACGGTGACTTGCTGTAGTGTTTGCAAATCAGCTAACTCACAAATTCCCTCCTATACTGTTTTGTTTTGCAGTTGAGAGCCAAGCACTTGGCATATCCCAGGCTGCCAGTCTTGTCGCTGGCAGAGAAATACAGCACAGAAGAATCAGGCATTTCAAGCTGGTTAGATACATGAGAATGGAAGGGTGATTTGTCAGATATTTAATTTATCATTCTGATAAACGTGACGGGTATAGGGGGGAAAGACAGCACTTTGGGGGAAATAAAAGGGTAGGATAATGCTTTTTCTGCACCTTTGGAGACCTCTCTTTCAACTACATCATAGCTCTGTTCAGGACACTGTGGACTTTAGGACAGCTTCCTGGGAAAAATGTTGTGATTTATGAGTCTCCTGGGAGTGATCCAATCAGCTTCTCCATGAAGTAGAACAGACCTTGAACCACAAGAGATTAGCTCTTGAAACCAAGAAGAATAAAGCATCCTGAAAGCAGGTCACACTAAGCAAATGTCTGGTGAACTTCTTGAAGACAGCTGGGTCAGACCAGTACAAAGTCTTCTCTTTGAAAAGTCAGTCATTTATTCCAGAAAACTTGCTAACATGTGATGGTTTAAAAAATTATTGGCTAATCATTATTAATAGCAAATATAGACTCCTAAAAGCCAGATGCTTGTGGCCTGCTAGTCAACCAATGAGACACCGTAGCAGCTCTTGAGTTGTATTTTGCTTAGAACTGAACAAGCAGCCAGATGGCCTTAGCTTCTCTGACTTAGGAGCTGGGAACCTGTGGTTCTTAGCTTGATATCTTTCAGCCCACATGTATAATTGCTTTTGCCAGAAACCCACAGGATCATTCTCTTTCCCTCATTTTGGTGAGCTGTAGGATCTGACCCTTTCAAGATTTAAGAATTAGAGCAGATGAAGAAAATTGAAAGGGTAGCAGTAACCTACTGTGATTCAGACCATGTGAACTGAAAGCTAGGAGTCTCTTTTGAGTTTTAATATTCTTGAACAGGTAATATGAATGAATTATTTGAATGAATGAATGAATAATTCATTTGTTTTCTGTCACTGCTCTGCTCCCCTGCTTCCCCGGGTCTTCATCCATGTCTTTGCTTCTCCCTCTCTGTCTTTCCTATCTGTTTCTCCTCTTCTAGCTGCTTTTGTCCGTTTAAAGTTCTCTTGTGCTACTTGGCCTTCCAGGGCCACCTCCTGGGAGGTACTATTACAGGGGTGCCGAGGGCATTATCTTGGATACCAGAGTCTTGGACTCTTACTCTGGTTCTGCTGCTCTTGCGCTATTGGGGCAAGTCACGTCTCAGGTTTCTCACCGTATCTTCTCTTTTGTATGTATTTGTTCTATATTTCATGTGATATACTTGCTTGCTCCAGGTTTTTCAACATCAGTATTCCTGGCAGGGCCACACCACCAACCCCCACCACCCTCAAGCAAAATTGCTTTAGTAAAGTCATCATCTGAATCCAAGAATCCTCCACTTTTCCTATCAGTTGTCTTGAACCTTCCAAATAGACCCACAGCCTTATTATTTTGAAGTAAGCTCATCACCCAATGTGGTACTCCGACTCATGACCCTGAAGATCAGGAGCTGCATGCTCTAGCGACTGAGCCAGCCGGACGCCCCAGACCCACAGCCATGATGATGTGGCCTGTATTTAGGGGACAGTCCAGTATTAAACTCAGTTTCAATTCAAAACATACGGTCACCATATTTATGGCTTTTCAGCTTAGGAAGTTGGAAACTGAAAACAAACTCTTAAAGTTCAATCCCCGAAACTCAAACCAAGTCAACCCTAAATGGGAAATAGCTATACCTCAATTTAGTGAAATGCTTCAAACCTCTTGAGGTGAGTGTGACAAGGTGAGGCCTCCATACACTTCCGTTTCCTGCACAGGAAAGTTTGAGTTCCCTCTCCTGTTTGTTCCCTACATAGTCTCCCTTCTTCTCCTAGGAGGATCCTTAGTGGGCTGTGGTCACTGCCACTTTGCGGAGAGAGCTTTTCCCTAATGGCTTCTAAATGCAAATGTGGAAGCCAGAGGTCCCTGGCCAAGTTGCAGGGTACCACTGTCCTCCGGCCACACCTCTCCTTCCTAATCTTTGCCCTGGCACAGCTAACAGCCTGCCCAGGCTTGGGAGCCTCCTGCAGTGCCCTTCCCTGTCAGGTGTGCCCCCTGGCCAGGCTGCTGCCAGGTTCTCCTCATGGCCTCAGCACAGGTTGAAAGCCTGCACTCACTCTGTCTCCCCATTCCTGCAAATATATAAAAAAGTTGAGGCCAAACGCCCGGGACCACCCACTTATGTGCCTGTGCAGTCCTAGAGGCCAGGTAAAGACATTTTCTTCCATCTCGTAGTCACAGGCTGCTCTGCTCCATCAGCCTCAAACTAGAAACCGGTCCAGCCTGCAAATTTTTTAGCTTTGCTTTGAATCTCCTTGAGGTAATGTGCACCCTAGTCTCAGAAACTTGTCCACAAAGTCATTGAAAATATTCAACACAGAGCTGAAGTGTGGCAACGTCTTTTTATTTCAAGCTTAGAGGACAGGCTGCAGAGCAAAGCACCAGCAACTTTGCTTTACCTGAGGGTGAATTGGATGTCGGCTCACCTGCTGGCGGGAGTTTATTTTGAGTTAACCTCCGTGCTCTTAAAATGCCTTTACAGCAGCCACATAATAAATGTGAATCCAAAATAAAGGAGCCCACACTCCTCACTCTCAGGTGCTTGATGCAGAACTTGGAAATCTCAGAAACGAAGGCAGAAGGTGATTTTCTTCCGCTGGGAATGAACTTATCTGTGAAGTTAGAAAGACGTTATTGTACAGAAGCAGATGAGTCACGGATCCTCACTGAGGTGATGCTCTTTCAGGAACATCAGAAGTTACTGTCCGGGTTTGTATAACCGGTTACAACTTCCTCCTCAGTATAAGAGGGGCTGACTCATCACCTTATGGATCTACCCATACCACTCCGCTCTCCACTCCTGCCCTCTCTTGGACCCTGGAGAGGTGGTTTTCAGCCACAGTATCATGCCACACTGGCATTGCCTGAATCATCCACACATTGATGTGGATGCCTACCTTTGCACCTCAAGCACTGTCCCAGGAGTCAGGGATACTGTGATCGACATGATAGGTTCTGGCTTCTCGGAGTTTATACCTCATGGGGTGGGGGAGCAGATGGCTAAGCAAATCTAAAGCAGGGCGAGGACTAGAGAGTTCAGGGAGGAGTAATAGGGCTTGCGCGGGGAAGAGGGTGCTAAGTAAGATTGAGTGGTGAAGACAGCTCTAAGGAGATGACAGGTGAGCAGATTCTTGAATGTAGTGAGGAGTGCATTCCAGGCTGGGGAGAATATGGAAAGCACCTAAGTCCTGAGGTGAGAATAAGGTTGGTGTGTCAAGGAACAGCAAAGAGGTCCTTATGGCCTGAATGGAGTGAAAACGGCAGATGGTGCTGGGAGATAAGTTAGAGAGGTAGGCAGGGTCCAAACAGGAGGGACCTTATTCTCCATGTTAAGAATTAAATGTTATTCTGATTGTGATTAAAAACCATTGGAAGGCTTGGTGCAGGGCCATCGGTTTATCTAACTTACATTTCTAAAAGATCACCCTGGCTGCTGTGTGAAGAATTATCTGAAGTTGGGTAAAGTGGAAGAACAGCAGGAGGCTATTACATTAACAGTGTAAGCAAGAGGTCCCGACTTGGACTAGGCTGGT